CTTAGATTTTAAAGTGGTAGTACCCTCTTGGGAAAACTGATCTAGAAGTGGGCTAGCTTTCTCTGAGCAGAAAACACGTTCTGGGAATATAGAAAAGGTGCTCAGGAAGGGCTTCATTTTAAAGAGCATGCTAGGAACTGTAGGCTCCTTAATCGTTAGCAGAATACGCATGCAGCCCCTTCTAGATGGCAGCCATTCAGCATGTAATAAGTCTTATCAAAGAGCGTTCGCAGCAAAGCAGCTGGCTCAAGGACAGAATGACTGCCTTTCTGTAGCCCCACCGTCCTCTGTTCACTCTGTTATTGGAAATCTGCAGGGTGATCTGATTGATCTGTAAGTAATAATTACACTTATCTTGTCTCTGCCCCTTCTTGAGAATTATACCCTCCATAGTTATTCCTTTCTCTTCTGGTAGATTCGGAAGTGGGATCATCTTTGGATTCCCTGTTGACTGTTCGCTGTGTGTCAGTGTGAGTAACAGGTGTCTTTATAGCTTCTATTTTGTTTAGGTGACTCTCAGTGTATTTTACAAAGGACTCCTTCAATGAGTCAACTTTATTTTTAACTGAAGTTAAAAGTTCAAAGATTGAGATCACCGTTTGTGCTGTAAGCAAGCATTGCCTAGATATAAAGTCTGTTACATTCTCCCTTTTTAAGTTTATATCATCCCCGTCCTGCATAAGCAAAGCGGCTGGTAAACAAACGGCAGAAGTCTGGGGAGGGGAGGCATCTTCTGACAGGGAAGAAGAAAGTTCTATAAGCTGCTGGCTTTCAATTTCAGTCTGTAAATCCCATTCCAAGGAATTATGAGTGCTATATCTATCTGGAGAGGATGTAGGGGCAGAATGACTTACTGGAGTTGTCTGTTTGTTTATAGTATATTCGTCCATTTTCTGCTGCTTCAGAGGTTTTGATGGAATCTGTGTTGCAGAATGTACACGCTGTCTCTTCTTCCTTTTTCCCATTCTTGAATCCTAGTGTATATTTTATCAAATTATAGCTGGAGCAGAAAGATGGCTCTTCAGGCAATATAGTTTAAAATAAATTAAAATTTGTAAAATAGAATAAAATAGGATGTTGCAGGATAGAATAAAATGAAATAAAATGGAGAGCATAGACTCAATGCTGCTCACCCATCACCATCTTGGAGCCTCCCCTCTGTGAACCCATTAGTGCTTTTGAGAGCTTTCACATTATGTCTTTTCAAATTGTGCGTCTCAGGGCAGTTTTTGTCTTTTTTAAAAAAATTATTTGATGTATCAAAAAAACCCCTAAAGCATTATGTATTTTATTTTTCTATAAGCTAATTTATGAACCTTTCAGAGTGAATAGCAGGATATAAATGCTTCAGATGAATGAACAAATTATATATATATTTTAGGAGCCAGAGATGACTTGGCCAGATACAAGGATTCTGAAGATTTGCCCCCAAACTCACCACTTTCTTCTTTAAACGATGCTGAAACCTATCCTGATCACTTTACAAAAGGTAAACCATTCCAAAGGGCTCTTTGAAAAAAGCAGTTATTCATTGGACTTTATAACAAATCAAAAATATTTGTATCTTCATAGCAAATTTGCTGATCTCCACTTGATACAGTAATATCAGTAGGTTGCATACTTCTTACGTGTTCTATATACAGTGTTATATTTTGTGTTCCTCATCTACTTTTTTAAGCGCAGAAAAAAAATAGTTTTGGTGTCATGTGTCTACAAAAGTTATGACCAAATTGTGATTTTTAATGTAATGGAAAAGGGAAATTATTACATATAAGACTGAAGAATATTTGTATTAATTCTACTTAATTTGTTACGTATAAAATACTTCAATTCATCAACTCCAATTTTTATACTTAGCTGAGCTATTAGCTTTAGGAGTTAAACCCCTGGCGTGCTGCTCAGGAGCCTTCAACCTAGAAAAGTTGCTTATTTCTGCAAAAATGGAACTAGGATATAATTCTTTTTTTATTCCTTTGGTATCTTATCTGGATCCTAAAATTAAAATCTATTGTTTGTGTAGGTATTTTGCTTTTTTTAGAGTTTGATCTGAGATGACCAGAATGATTTTTCTGGGCTACCTTTGACCTAGCTAAGCATAGAGGTGTAGGAAAATTTTGGCACCTAATAATATATTTAATATATTTGTAGAACTAGTCTAGAGCATATTCTGTAGTCTGTCTTGAAATTCTTTACCTTCTCAATAGATGCAGAAGGAAGTGAAAATAGACTCTTCCATCCAAAACTTCAGTCGCTTCTTATGGATGCTACAGGATCCCCAAGAAAAGAGAAAGTGAAATTGCCCTCATCTATACAGAGAAACAAGCCACGATCAATGCGAAGACAAAAGGTAAGTAATATAATTCCCACAGTAATATTGCTTTTCTCTTGAATTTTCCCTGAGTTTACCTTCATCATATTTAGAATTGTTCTGTCTCCTGAAACTTTTTTGTTCTAGTTAAGGTGGTCTTGCTTAAAAGACATGTGAAAGATGCATCACTCCATCTTCTGTCTGGTTCTCAAGTTTTAGAAGCTTCCGCAGTGCTTTCAGTGCAATCTGTTGAGCTTTCCTACCAGTATAGTACAATGATTGGAGTATTGGACTGGGACCAATTTCCAAATCCCAATTTGTTCATGGAGTTTGCAAGGTGAATTAGAACCATTCCTTTTTCTCAACCTATCTCAAAGTGATGTTGATATCAGGATCAAGTGAGAAGTGAGCCTTATGCACTGCTTTTGAGTTCTTTAGAGGAAGGGTAGAATATGTATATAAGGAATGAATTAAATGCTTTATAACTATTGCCTTCCTTCAAAAACAGCCCATTCTAGGGAAGCACCTTATTGGCGTGACCTTATTCAATACCAGTGTTGTTGAACTTAAAAGCCAATGGATGGAACACATGGCGTTATTTTGGCAACAGATGGGTAGGAGATTGGATGTTGAACTTGATCCAAGAATGTGCCTGACCTGCAATTCCTGAATAGTTCGACCATTTGGTTAAGGGATGGCAGTGTTAATCTAAGAGCTAGTGAGGTGTGCAGGGTCCTAAATTAATCTGAATGTATCTAAGGTCTTCTTTGGGATCTAGAAAAGCTGGTCTGAGTTTGGTAATGTCACAGAAAAGCAAATAGGCTGCTCCCTCTACCCATTGTGTACTCCTTTCCTTTCCTGCCAGGATATCAGGCATAACCAGTCATGACTTACGGGTTATAGAAGTAGAACGGCAACTCAAGCACCTAAGAGTAGTGGATTCCTGCCATAAAGCACCACCACAAGTAGCTAGCTGTCTTTTTTTCAGCTACCATTAAGCAGCAGCCGAAGGGCTTTGGAGCACATGGACAACGGTGTGCTCCAATATTCAACCCGAGATGCTTGTAGCTTGGTTTCTGAGGCTGCATTGGATGGGTCAGAAAGAGTGGACTTTTCCTTCCTCCCTCCCTCCCTCTCTCTGCTTTTACAGTGAGTACAAAAGGAGTTTTGCCCCTCTCATCCACAAGGACAGAAGAAACTAAGATTGGGGGCAAAGGAGTTTGTTTCAAATCTTTGTCTTGCTCTGTGAACTTGTCCTTCTACTATTGGATGGCTTCTGCCTATGTTCCTGATATGTGGCCCAACTGTAACTAACATAGCCTATCATTTAGTAAGTCCTGTCCAGCTTTGGCTCTGTCTGTGTAAGACTACAACAGGCTTGATGGCAGCTGAGAGGTAAGAGAAGTGTAATCTGACATTATGGAACAATATTCCATATGCATTGAGTGTCCAAGGAACTATATAGTATAATTTTACCAAAACAAAAACAAAACCCTTACCAAGAATGCTCTGCATTATACTACAGATTCTTTTTCTTTGTCCAGGAGCTTACTGAAGGTTAAATAGACTTTCATGCCTTAGGCTAAATAATCAATAATCTGTAGCAAATAAATTAAGGATACGTATAAATTTTCTGATAAGTAGATGTTTAGCATCTCATTCATACTACAGAATATAAATCAGCATTGTACTTTTTTTGTACATGTTGAATTATTCATAGGACTGATTTAACACGGGCAAATCCACTTATAATTCACGGTATATTATGTTCCAACTGACAAAATGATTCTTTTTGATGGAGTGTATTGTGGATTCTGAATACAAACGTCATTTCAGAATTGAAGTATCAATAACTGCTGTGAATGGGTTCAATATCAACCAATAAATGCACTTTATTCTTGTCAATAGATGTATGAATTAAGAGTTTTAACCTGTCTGCCCTTTCTAAATGATCCCTCTTGTTTGTGAAGACTGTAGATCTTGTTTCTGGCAAAGTTCACACAAGCTCTGCCACAGCACTTTCCCAGAATATGTCAGGATTCCTTCTTATCCCACCGAAAGTGACATTTGGAGTTCTTAAGGAGGGCTGCACTTACGCAACCACAGTGACTTTGAAGAACGTTGGAGTGGACCTCTGCAGGTTTGTATATATTGCTAGCAAGTTTTGTATCTGCCAAAGGTTACCATGCCCAAATGTTTTGCTTTTTGGTTGTTGGGAGATATGCCACGATGTTTGCAGATAACCAAGATTCCCTTCTGTTTGAATGATGTCAATAAGTCATAGGTCTGAAGGAGTGGTAAATTGTTCGGGGAGGGAGGATGATGATAGTTTTCTTTTGACAATGTAGTATATGAGAATAGCATCAACCCATGGCCCTGACTGGGGGCCTGAATAATAATTTTCAAAATAGAAGCATTTGTGGTAGCCATGTTCTTCTTCTGTGAGTCATGCATGTAGTTTGTGTAACTCAGATGGCATGTTCTAGGGCAAAGCATTGCAGTGATAAACCTGTTGCCTTCTTAAAGTATTTGTCCAAAAGGTGAAATGCCTGCCTTATCTCCTTTCTTTCCCCATTGCTACAGTGTTAGCATTTAGTGACTTTGAATTGAACAGGAGTGGTTTTTTTCTATTGTATTTGTTTATACAATATTTTCTCCTCCTTTCTCTTCATATCATCATTTTGTCTTTCCATATACATTTTAATTATTCTGGGGTTGCCCTGAAAGCTGTTTTTGTAAATGTACCACCTCTCAGTTTAAGCTTCCTGATGATAATTGATTTTGTCTTACTTGGCTAGGATGGGGGCAACTTACAGAATCTACTTTCACTTTAGGAATCAATCATTTCACTTTAAGGAAATGTTGGGAGGAGGAGTTCTGTTATAGATCCTCAAAGTCACCTTCAGGACAGCTCTTAGTAGATACCATTCTAGCTCCCTTGATGTCCATCTTGGACAGTAGTATATAACTTCTTGCAATCTGAGGGCTGAATCATCTTTTGTCACTCTCCAAAAGTGGATGGCCTCAGGAACCTCTTTTTGTGGGACTTGGAATATTTAAGTGGTGCAAAGCTCAAAGGCTGCTCTTTGACTCCCCTAGCCCCCAAATAGAGGAAACTGACATGTTTCCACCAATTTGGGGTAGGTTCTGAGGCCCCCAGAAAGGAAGTTGATTGGTTACATGAGCTCCATGGGCCTTATTTTTGGCACCCCTATTCTTTGGCAAGGATGCACCAATGTCTAATGTCCAAGGTTCTGAGTGAAAATAACATGGAGTGAAGCTAAAAGTCTACACTCTACCATGGCATGAGACCAAATTCCATTTCTGGTGGCTCCTTTTGCAGCAGAACAGTCTTTTGAATTCAGAATGAAGGTAATACTGTAGTGCCCAGTATCATCTTCCCAGGTGTTTATAAAGAGGAAGATAGTTATGAAGGGCAAAGACCATTTGGGTCCAACTACATGGCACACCTATGGGCACACATGTATATACCTCCAGTGCCATTACCTTTGCTTAATTTACCTGTTCAATCCTGAAAAAAAATGTAGTGGATTGCAAGCATAATTTTTTGGATTATATTCATAAAGTTGGATCTGTGCTGAGAGATCAGAGAGAAATCCCCCTTTTTGGGATGGAATTGTCACGCTAGCATGGGTGATATTCTGCAAGTTTTCATAAGTGGGAGTTTTTCTTCTTCTATCATTGTTCATCAGAATCTTATTATTCACAAGTCTAGTCTGAACTATGGATGAAGCCACCAGCAGGAGCATGAAGGGGGCAATTGCCTGAGATACTTTTAATCTTCTTTGTGCTCCTGGGATAGCTGTCACTCAGGAATTGCCTAGATGTTATGATAATGAAGCAGACATTTTATTTCTCACTGGCCCTTTCTTCCAGAAATTCTAATTACAGTGGTACCTCGGGATACGAACTTAATCCGTTCCGTGACTCTGGGCGTATCCCGAGTTGGTCGTAACCCGAAAAATTCGCAAGCAGAGGCGTTCCTATCCCGAGGGATTACCTGACATGACAATTTCATCTCTTAGTTTGATATTGAGAGGATGTTTAGTAGGGAAAAACACTGTCTCACATGGCTCTTAATCAGGTAGAATTACATATAACCATCAAGACTGAAGATATGAT